CGTCACTGTTGACAGTCAGAGCTTTGAAGTTGTAGATAATTTCGTCTATCTTGGAACCAGCGTAAACACCACCAACAATGTCAGCACAGAAATCCAACGCAGGATAACTCTTGCCAACAGCTGCTACTTCGGATTGAGTAGGCAGGCAATTGAGAAGCAAACTCCTCTCTCGACAAATAAAAGCCAAACACTTTAAGTCACTCATAATTCCCGTCCTGCTATGCGATGTCAACAACGGATGAGTCGACGTTGCGAGTTTTCGAGAGAAAACTCGGCTATAGTCGCGTAAGCGGTGACTACGCCAATTAAGAAGAAGAACCTTTTGCAATTGAATGGATTGAAAACGGAGAAATTGATTTTAGAGTGCCTTATGACGAAATATGGCGTTGTGTGTGTGTACGAAGATCACTGTACTCTAGCAGTAACTATGTGTTATTATTATTTTGTTTTTGAAGCAATAAAATATTCAAATAATTCTTACATGAATTCTGAACACATGCTTATGATTTGGTATGTAGTCTTTGTATTTATGAATTGTATGGTCTTTTAGCATTGGAAGATAAAAAGTATTTATGTCCGTTCATGGTTCTAAGCTAATCCCACATAAATTTTCAGCCAAATCGGTTAAGCCGTTAAGTTATAAATAGTGTAACTAGCATATAGAAAAAATATAATTTTTTTGAATTTCAGAAAGTCACCTAACCCTTGTAATGCAAGTTGGCCTTTTCCAATCAGTGTGAATGTTCCACATAAAATTTTTTAGCTCATTGACAAAGCTGCTTGTAGACTATTAACAGTTGATACATCCCAATGCAGGTATTATGTTACTTTCGGAGGCATTGGATGATATAGTACCACCAGAACATTCTAACGAAGACTACTTACTACTCGATTCGTAACTGAGGTAACCACCATGGGATAACGTTTCAACCTATATCCACATCCAAGTGAAGTGCGACAATCGCCTCAGCGTGCAATACAGCTGCAACAATCACCACTTGTACACAACTTCGTCAACTCCAGGATCAATTTTACCGAAACAAACTCGACTCTTTCAACTGAACTGGAAACGATCATCAAGCAATATCGAATAGATAGCTGAGTTTGTGAGAGGGAATGCATATCGATAGCTGCAGCCGAAGAAACTAAGTTAAACCGCCGTGGGAACCTCTTAGTACTATGAGACTTTAACGCGCACCATGATCTTTGACACTCGTGCCAGTCAAACGATCGTATAGAGGTGAAACTGACGGATCGGACAAACCTTCAACACAATGAACGAAGAAGTTGGGTTGGTGGTGGGGGTTGTGTATGGGGCGGTAGCCTGGGCTTCAGTAGCGTCGCAAACATCGGTAAGGACAAAACTACTGAAGCTGCAGAGGCTGATGGGCGCAATGCGAACTTGTCCAACGGCAGCACTGGAGGTTCTTCTTGAACTTACTCCGCTTCATTTGGTCATCGGTCTGGTAGCCAAACACACTCTTCTGCAAATAACGGCAGAGGGGTGTGGAAAATTAAAAATAGTCTCATCCCAGAGGATGGAGAAGGTAAGTGGCAAGTTACCACTGGTCCTCCTCCCGAGGGATAGTACTACTAATAAGGTTAACCTCAGGAAGAGGTTTAAGGTTACCCTAGGCAGCAAAGACGACTGGAACGACTCCAACCTCGAGCGGATGTTGAGGAACAGTACTATGAGGTGGTACACAGATGGCTCTAAAATGTCCGAGGGAATCGGCGCAGGGATTGTGGGCCCACGCACTAGGCTCCCAGTACCCATGGGTGAGTTCCCGAGCATTTTCCAGGGAGAGGTGTATGCTATAAGCCGATGCTTAGAAATAAACCTCCATCGCAACTATCGCAATGAGCGTATAGCCATTCTTAGCGATAGTCAAGCGGCGCTRAAGGCGATCTCCTCTTACGAGATCAAGTCGCTTCTAGTACAGGAGTGCAGGGGGAGGCTGAATAGCCTTGCGGGGAGAAACCAGGTACACCTGATATGGGTGCCTGGTCACAAACTTATAGCCGGGAATGAACTGGCGGACGAGCTCGCCCGCTCCGCAGCCTCCACCAGGATGGTGGGACCCGAACCCTTTACGGGAGTGGATCCCCACACCATGAAGGAGCTGCTCCGCAAAAAGGAAAGAGCACTGGCGACAAACTCATGGTATGAGACACGCCAGGGCTGCTAATGGGAGGTTACAACCTGAAAAGGTTCAAAATCGTAATAAACCTCCCCAGGAGCAAACTCAGGCTGTTAGTCGCATGATATACTGGCCACTGTAAGCTGAATAGGCATCTGCACAGCATGGGCCTGTCAGCTTGCGCCAACTGCCGGTTCTGTGACAGGGAGCCTGAAACTCCGGAGAATCTGTTGATCGACAGTCTGTAGACGCAGAGCCAAGGCCCTTGGAGTTTTGTTTCCGGATAGGGATCGCATTGCCTCGCTAGCGCCAAGCAGTCTACTGGACTTCATTAATGGGCTGGGGCTAAGCAAGTCAATGTGAGTAAGGAGAGGGCACAATAGACCAAAGGTCGCAGTGCATTGCTCATCATCATTCATTCATTCATTCATGACCGACGTCATTGATTCTTTATGAATTCATTTTTATTATCTAAAAACTATACGTCAGCGCCAGCAAACAAACTATATATCAAAATCTATCAGCTAAACTTTACTATAGCAATTGCAATTTTTTACTTAAATTCCTCGGCTAAATTATAATTCAAACAAGTAAGGAAGGGCTAAGTTCGGGTGTCACCGAACATTTTATACTCTCGCATGAAAAGTGATAATCGAGATTTCAGGCGTGGTTGTGAAGCGATTTCACCCATATGTGATACATGTCATCAGGGTGTTAAGAAAATATTATATACCGAATTTCATTGAAATTGGTCGAGTACTTCCTGAGATATGGTTTTTGGTCCATAAGTGGGCGACGCCACGCTCACTTTCAATTAAAAAAAAAAAAAAGCCTGGATGCAGCTTCCTTCTGACATTTCTTCCGTAAAATTTAGTGTTTCTGAGGTTTTTTGTTAGCCGGTTAACGCACTTTTAGTGATTTTCAACATAACCTTTGTATGGGAGGTGGGCATGGTTATTATCCGATTTCTTCCATTTTTGAACTGTATATGG